AATGATTTTGAATATGCATCTGCCATGCAGAAAGAAAAGAAGAAGACAACAGAGATTTATGGATGTAGTGAGGGAGAACATGGAAAGGGTAGGTACTAAGAAATGAGGGTCACCACAGCTGAAAGAAGAAGAAGCCTTATATGGATTTAATCTGCAAAATAATGAAAGCTTTAATGTGTGGAGTACAGAGTGCAATAATAGTTAAAAGTAACAGATAAAATACATTAAACTTGAGTAAAGTATTTGAGTTACATTCCAACTGGTCCTATCTATGTATTCATTTAACTGAGTTGGGGACGGCAAGATTAAGGGTACTCTAGTTGTACTGTTTTAACACCAAACATGTATCATGTAAAAATGTATTAACATTTATAGTTTATAACATACTGGCAACACATTGAAGATGTTAAGTACATGTATACACACTATAAATACTATCTGAAAGACGTTTGGGAAATAAGTAAAGAAAAAAAGTTTTAAAAACTATAAATCTTGTGTTATCTCTTGTATAAAAGTGCGCAAGTTTTGTGTGAAAAAGAAGTCATGAAAGGCCTCATTACACATTCTGACAATGTCGGTCACGAGATCCAATCAGAAGACGTTTCTGTACGTTACGCAAGCGCGTCGATGCACGCAGTGGTCTCTGTGACAGGCTAGCGCGCCAAATTGATGTTACCGACAAAAGAAAACAAATTAATGCTTAGCTAGCCACAAAACTACCCAGTACACGTCGCGGAGAGTCTTAGGACGAAATTGTTTCCCTGTCAAAGCTCAGACTGAGGCACCTGGTCCGCTGTCAGGATGGGTCTGCTCGAGCGTTGCCAGGAGCTTTTTAAGACCTCAAACTTGTATGAGGTTCTGGGAATCAACAAAGAGGCGACAGAGGCTGAGATCCGGAGGAGCTACTACAAAGTGTCGCTGAAAGTCCATCCAGACCGGGCTCCTGACGACCCGCTGGCCACAGAGAAATTTCAGGTGAACGCTCGTTGTTGTTGTGACAACACACATACACGCAGAGATTAAGCTAGGCTTGCGAGCTAGCTAACGCAGCTAACTGTAGTTGCCGTGAATAATCTCGCACTGTGCCATCACAGACTTCACCCCAGTAACATCCAGTCGCGGGATTTGGACATGCGTTTGTGGTATCTACATGACTACAGAGATGTTTTAAACATCCCCCAGTGATACTAAATTTTCACAATAATTCAAGTGCAAAACAGACTCGTTAGGTAATTTATATCCCACATATAAATTACCCTGTAAACTGAATTCAACACTTTGCTTACTACCTCAAATAGAACCTGTCTTAGAAAGTCAAGCAGGCTAAACGAAACAGTTGAGAAACTATGTCTCACATCTATGGTGAGAGCCATTATCCACAAATGGAAAAAAACGTGGAACAGTAGTGAACCTTCCCATCAAAGACTCATCCAGGAGGTAAAAAAAAAAAAAAAAAACCCAAACAACATCTAACGAACCTTACTTGTCTCTGTTAAAGTAAGTGTTCATGATTCAATAATAAGAAAGAGACTGGGCAAAAATGACATCCACTGGAGAGTTCAAAGGCGAAAACCAGTACTGATTAAAAAGACCACAAAGGTTCATGTCACATTTGCAAAAAAACAAACAAAAAACATTGTAATGATCCCCAAGCCTTTTGGGAAAATATTCTGTGGACTCGCTAGGCAAAGTTGAACTTTTTGGAAGGTTTGAGTTACATCGGGTGTAAAACTAAGACATAATTTCATAAGTATGATATGACGTTATTGTGATGGGCGCTGCTGGTTTAGGACCTGAATGACTTGCTGTTATTGATGGAACCATGAATTCAGAAAATGCAGAGAGTCCTGAAGGGGAATGTGTCAAGGAGAGACGTTTCAAAAAAACAAAAAACAAAAAAAACAAAGATTATGCAGTGGCCTAGTCTAAGTCCAAACTTAAATCAGATCCAGATGTTTTGGCATGACATTAAACAGGCCGATCATGGTCAAAAACCTTCCAGTGTGGCTGAATTAAAACACTTCTGTTGTAAAGAAGAGCGGGCCAGATTGCCTTCACAGTGATGTGAAAGCCTCATTGCCAGTTATCACAAACACTTGATTGCCATTCTAGCTGCCAGTGGGTGGTACAACCAGTTATTAGGTTTAGGGGTAATTACCTTTTCACATAGGGCCATATAGGTTTGGATCAGCTTGAATTCCAAAAATAAAAGTATTTAAAATAGCACTTTGTATTTATCTGGGTTTTGTCTAATATCAAAATGTGTTAAGTGATCTAAAAAATGTCAGTGATATGCAAAAAAAAAAGGGGGGGAGGGGAAACAGAAAACAGGGGAGGCAAATACTTCTTGCAACAAAACTGTTAATTTAGTGTTGTCAGGTAAAGGCACTTGCTAAGGTATTGGAAGTTATTGACCATAATGAATTAATAAATGACTGTAAATAATAATAATACATTTTATTTTAAAGCACCTTTCGGACCACTCAAGGACACTGTACACAGCAGAATAATAAAAACAAGCATAAAAGCAGACAATTTACAAAATCATATAATGCAAAACATAAAACAGATTTAAAATAGCAGAATGGAAAAGGTTATGTGGGATAAGCTATTTTGAACAGGTGAGTTTTGAGTCTAGACTTAAAAAGAGAAAAGGAAGTAATATTTCTTATATCAGGAGGTAGGGAATTCCAGTCGAGGAGCAGAGCAGCTGAAAGCCCTGCTCCTCATAGTGGTGAGGCGGGGCGAGGGGACAGAGAGAGAAAGAGAAGAAGATGATTTAAGACACCAAGCTGGAATGGTGATCTGAACCAAATCAGCGAGATATGGAGGGGAGAGAAGATGAATAGCCTTACATGTATACTAAAGTATTTTAAAATTGATGCGATATTTGACCGGCAGCCAATGAAGCTGTTGCAGGACAGGGGTGATGTGGTGAATAGATGGGGTCCTTATCATAATAACAGAGTTCTGGACACGTTGAAGCTTATGTATGGATTTTTGGCCAAGACCAAAAAGAAGTAAATTGCAGTAATCAATCCTAGAAGTAACAAGGCTATGAACAAGAATAGCAGTGGCATATGGAGTGAGAAAAGGATGAACACGATTAATGTTGCGCAATTGGAAATATGCAGACCGAATAACATTATTGATGTGTGAATAAAAAGATAAAGTACTGTCGAGGATGACACCCAAACTTTTCACACATGGAGAAACAGAGACCGGTGAGTTATTGATAGTAACAGAGAAGTTATTAGTTCTGGATAATGTTGATTTAGAGCCTACCAAAAGAAGCTCTGATTTCTTTTGGTATATCAAAATGCCTATAATATAAAGGCTGTGGCAGCATCTCACAAATGTCCCTTGTCTAGTTCGTATTTGTATGTATAGGTGCGGCATTTTACAGACTAATATCAAGTAATGGCCTCAGTTCATCAGTGTTTCAATGCACCTCTAAATCAGAGTGTAATACCATAGTTTTCAGTAAGAGTTGTATTTTGGTGTAAAATGTCCCTACAGGTGTTGGGAAAGCTGTACGCGGTGCTGAGCGATAAGGAGCAGAAGGCTATTTACGATGAGCAGGGAGTGGTGGATGAAGAGTCTGACGTCCTGAAGCAAGACCGCTGCTGGGAAGACTATTGGAGACTGCTTTTCCCAAAGGTACCAGAGCACAGAGTGATTTTTGTTTTTTCACTAACATGACTCACTAATGAGTCACAGTGAATGTTGTTTGTCTGTCTGTGTCCTGGGATGATGTGACACCTGAAGCGAGTCACTTGGAGGAGGAGGTTACAGCAAATAAATGGTCAGACTACACCTATGCATAATAGTAAATTGATGCAAGCATAATATATTTCAATTTGTTTGTTTGTTTGATTATTAATGCATTGTTCATATTAGTCTTCACAACATGCTGTCTTTCCACCCACCTCATAGATCACAGTCCAGGACATACTTGAGTTTGAGAAGACGTACAAGGGCTCTGACGAGGAGCGACAGGATGTGATCAAGCTTTACTTACAGCACGAGGGAGACATGGACGCCATCACCGCCTCAGCTCTGTGCTGCTCCCAAGAAGATGAGCCCAGGCTGCGCAGCATGATCCAAGATGCCATCGATAATGGCGAAGTAACAGCCTTCCCAGCTTTTACTCATGAGACCGAGAAGAAGAAAAGGGCCCGGAGGAAGAGGGTGAGAGATGTGTTGGTGTTGAATCACAGCTTATGTGCAGGGTTTTGGTTTGGTTTTTTTGCCATGATTGTTAGATGGCCAAAAGTACTTGTAAAACTTAATCATTGCTAATAATTTGTAAGAAATGAGTACAAAAGATAAGGCTCCAGCGTCTTTGAGCTTAATGATTGCACCTAACCTTGCAGGCTGATAGAGAGCGCCAAGAAGCAGAGGAAATGCAGAAAAAGATGGGGCTGGATGACCAGGATGACAGTCTTGTGATGATGCTTAAGGTGACAAATGCATGTGCAGATGTTAGAAAGTTTCAGGGGTATAGCTTGTTTATCCTCTGACTAACTTTGCTTTCTTCTTGTTTCCTACTCTGCAGCAACGACAGCAGTCCAGAGAGCAAAATTTTAACAGTTTCCTGTCTGACCTGGAAGCAAAATACTCCAAGAAAAGTGCCCCAAAACCCCAAAAAGGGAAAAAAGCAAAAAAGTAAAATGTTCTAATATTAGTAGATACAATGTATGTAAGTTCTGGAAGATAACCACATTCACAAAACAAACAACTTTGGAAGAACATTCATATACACAGTTGTACAGCTGCATTCTGTAATCATTGAAATGATCAGCCTCAGTAGCTTTTATGTGACGCTGTGTTTTGTCTCATTTGTTTTTTCTGTTAATCTTAAAAAATAAAAAAAGACCCCAAAAAAAACAAATAAATCCAGTTATGTAACAGATCATTGCTTCACAGCTTTGTTTATTTATTTTTATAAACCAGGTTAAAAGAAAATGCATTGCAGAAAATTGTTGACTTTTTTTTTCCAAGCTTTGTGGCATGGCTGTCTGGTAAATGATCCTGAATACATATAAATTGACCTTTTTGCAGTAACCCTGATGTTACCTGTCAAGCACCCCCGCTTGGCTTAGCTTAGATTTAAAAACGTTACATCCCGTAAAATGGTTTGTACATACGTGACAAGCTATTTACAAATAAAGTTTAATATCACTGCCTCTTATGTTCCTTTTGCTGTCATGTCATGCAGCTTAAAACCCACAGCCCCTCTCGTGATTTAAAATAAGCTCGTCTTTTTGTTTTTCTCCCTGTGTACAATGATATGCAAAGAGGCTATGGATAAATGCTTGTCGTGTCCCTATAAAAGATACAGTACCAAACTCTCTGATTTAGCTTCAGAGAGGTAATCCTGTCGGGATGAATGTGTTATTCCCTGCATAGTGGGTTCCTGGTACAACAACGCAGCACAGAGGATAATATACAGTACGTTCACATATAAATAGATATATACATATTTACATAATACATGAACTAAGGTCTAAATATGCAGCTCATACTGTACATGAAGATGGAGTTATTGTTAATAATTATTTCTGTTTGGCAGCCTCATAAGCTGATTTTTGAAATACAAAAATAGGGTTTTAACAAAAATATTACAAAAGCAGCGTAATATGAAAAAAAGAACCTGCTACTTCTGTAAAACAAAACTGTTCAGTGGGCACGGATGCTGCAGAGCATTGCACTTCGTTGCACTTGAATAAAGATGAGTGGCTCGAAAGTCTGGAGTTTAGAGGCAAACTACAAGCCAGGTCTGCTGGCTCTGGATGAGATGCCTCCTCGGGTGTGAGACCGAGACGGGACTGACCCAGGCACCAGTGGAGCTGAGAGGAAGAATTTTAAAATAATAATAATAATTTAAAGTTAATAAACAACCTTAAAACCGTACTTGCTGCTTCAATCTCCCGCATTCATAGTTCAGTTCTGAGGCCCGAGTATGAAAGAGTTTCATCAGCCACTTTAATCTACTGACCTGGGACAGGGGCTTGCGGGTCCGGCTCCTCTTCGTCTTTGATGGGCGAGTGCCCCAAGGGGTGGTGGGAAAATGAGTCCAAAAAAGACGAGCTGCTGATGCCAAGACTGATGCCCGTCACACCGATTCCAAGGGAGTCTGGTGCAATGAAGGAATAAATGAATGCATAAGTTATTAGGCGATGTGCTACGAAACGCGCCTTAAAGTGCATGTTCAAAACAGGAAACGGGCAGAGAAAAGCAGGAGTGTTAGCTCACAGTATCAGTGATTCACTTTACCCCAGGATGAACTGTTGAAGGTTATGAACTATGAGAGCAAATAAAAATGATTGTTTTATTGAAGTATATCCATACACTGAGTCAGCTATAACAAGCAGTATGATAACAATACTGCTTAGCTAAAACTTAACTAGAAGAACAGTAAAGGACGAATGAATAGAACAGAGCTAAAAGTAGCAGTGAAATGAATGAGATTGCATACATACAGAAGTGTATTAGCCTTTTTTTTAAACAATAAAATAAACTTTTATTTAACTTTAAATGAACATATTTTGAACATGAGTAGTCGAAGAGGCAGATATAGTCTTACAGAGTGGCGTTCGGTAACCAGGGCAGTACATCACATCAAGATTTTTAATGGTTTCTTTTCAAATATTCAGGTTGAATTTCTGACCTGTGCCCACAGAGGCTCTGCCTGGCCGCCCCTGCCCAATGTTGTCCAACACTGTGAAGGATCGTCGGTATGGAGTATCTGACTGAAAGCAAAGTGAGGCGTCAAACATGCTTACAATTCAGAACGTTAACCATACCAGCGAATAATATAGAGTTAGCGATGCCATTGTGACCTGATCTACAATCTAATTACTGGGAAATAAAAAAACATTACATGACAGCTTCTCTATGGAGTCAGAAATTAAATGACTGTATTTTCTCTGATGATTAACCAGCATCTCACCCTGTAAGTGTGGGTTGTGTTGGGGCGAGAGAAAACGTCCAGTAGGTGGTGGCGATCCCTCGGAACTGAGCTGCCAGCTTTGTCATTTATAGCACTGTGGGCACGGCTAGATGGGCCCTTCTGGCGCTGGAGGGATATTTAAAAAAAGAAAAAAGAAATGGGCACAAAGTTGACTATCTGGCTTTATCTACATTCATAAAAACACTCTCTAAGTTTACTGGCACATTACTTAATTATCTACTTGGTGAGAGTGCCTGTACCTGTGCAGTTTTAGATGGCTGCCCTGAGTAAGATGAGTCTGGGTCTCCGGTGCTAATGGGCGGAAGGAGTGCGTTTCTGCTCAGAGGCAATGGTGGAGAGGTCAGTTGGTCACTGGCCGTGGGTCTGTGGATGTGTGGATGAAGACAGTTTTGTCATTTTATCCATGCTTCATCAATAACTCCCCTTTTTTTTAAAGAGATTTCAGAGGGGTTACTGTTAAACCCATAATAGAAGAGAGGATAAAGGCCTAAAGTTTAATTTACCTTTTCTGGGCCCTATGTGCACGACTAGTTATTGTCTAGATGCACATAGACTGCATTTCGTTGCCTTGGACTTGTGACATGTGCAATCACAATAAAGTTGAATTCTATTCTATTCTATTCTAAAATCAAGTTTGTTGAAAGCAGCCACAAAAGATGTGTCAGACAGAACTAAACTGAAATTCAGTCTGACATCCCAGAGAGCAGTTTACACTCTGATTTCCAACATACTGGGTGCTTCTTCATATGCTGCACAATACATGAACAATCAAGCACTAGTCAATCAGTGTGGAAGCTCACTACCTGACAACGTCTGACTACAGGCTGAGTCCTGCATGTGGCACTGTCACAGCCATAAGCTAAAATGGAGTCTGTTCTGAAAGCAAGTTCTCTCTACATCTGCAAAACTTCACAGGGTGTAGGAGGGAATGAGGAGAGAAAAAGGAAGCAATGTAGGAACTGGGATGGGTTCTCGTGATGCTAAAACTCACAGACGTGTCCCGCGGATGACCTCATCCATGGATCCCACTGCGCTCGACTGACTCGGATTGGGAACAAGAGGCAGGAGGGTTCGGGGAGGAGGGTTCCTGCGTCGGGCCGATTGTGCTGGGCGGGACAGCGAGGAAGAGCTCTGCTCCAGGGGTCGGCGAGGGCGAGGTTTGTTGGAGGGGACCGCGCTAGATCCCGGTCTGTGAGACGCACGCTCTTCTGGCTCCCTGAGTGGGAAGGAAAGAGAGCAAAACACGTTCGATGAATAGTCTGTTTGCAACCGGCCAACTGGCTGAGGACTCTGCCAAACAAGGTGTTAGGACCAGGGACAAAAACACTGCATGAATGATGCTCTGTACCTCTTGTTCTGCAAAATGTGTTTTTCAGTAAATGGAAAACTGCAAGATATCTTTGTCTCTTTTCTCTCTGAGTTAAAGATTTAAATCACATATTAGAATTCAGAACTGTGCTAAAATTAATTTCCCTGTTTGTTTTTTAGTTTTTTTTAAGCCACTGCTCACAGGTTAAGACAGTAATATGTGATCATACTGGCTTCTATCCGGCACACCCAGGTTCCTCTGCTGAAGGGGGATGCTGTGGATCACGATGAGGTCGTTCAGGTTGTGCTGAGTCGCGGCTGCTCCAACAGGGACTCTTCCAGCCTGGGGTTTGGTGTGAGATGAGTGACAGATAGTAATGAGACAGATGGGATGAAAAGTAAAACTATGGAAATGATTAAGGGGTCAAGGAAGGGACAAAACACATAATATAAGAAGAGGCTAATAGGGCTAGTTATTTCCATATGTATAGTGCAGACAAATTGCCAAGAAATGGTTATTCATCATGCAGTGATGTAAGGAGGGCCCCATATTTGCTATGGCACCAAAAAGACAACAGTCATAACACTAAAAATGCAACAAAAACAATAAGTAGCAAAATAATACATTCCAGCACTCTTCTAAAAAAGGAAGGCTCTAACTACAGTTAAACTTGTACATGTTTAAAGTAAGTTGAAGTTAATTAAAAAGATAAACAGATGGCAGTGTTAATCAACAGTCACAAACACGTTTAATCTAGAAGTAAAGATAATAAACCGCTGTGGACGGCATGCACACAGCACGCCACCATTTTGGCTCTAAGTGAGGGAGTTACATACACTGGAAGGCCTTTTCTGCTTTTTGGATTTCCGTCTGGACTTGTGCTTTGAGCCCCTTGACTTTGTGTTCTTTAAGTGAGAGTGGAAGAGGGCATGTCCAAAGAAAGAGACAGTGGATAGAAAGGAAAGGAAGGAAGAAGTGTAAGTGAGAAAGAGGGTAATAAGAACAGAAGAAAAATGGATAAAAAAAAAATAAAAAAGAATGACCAAAAGAGATGAAATAAGAGAAAATACATTGGCATGGTGAAGAGTGGAAAGTGAAGAGGGAAGAAAAGAAAACAGTTAATGAACTGGAAGCACTGAAAGAGTGAAGAGCAACAGGCAGGGGTAATAAATAAGTGTGAACTCTGGAGGAGACACATAGGTGACACATAGACTCTAGGTAAAATGAGTCTTACCTCAATCCATACGAAAAATGTATTCATTAACTCTATAAGACTAAACTTGCCAATTCAAATGACTTCTTTTCAGTTACTACATTGTCATTATTAAAGTGAAGAAGGCGCCACATAAAAGAGACACTTTTTTAAATATACAAAGGAAATCTATAACTATTTATGTTCTTCTATTATAACATAGTCACTTAGTTTGATGGCATCTACTAATAGGAAAAAAAAAAATCAATTTTGACCCTCCTGATAGTGATGAAAGTGAAACGAGGCCCACAGTCTGAACTCCCTTAGACGCACCCCGGTGCCTCCCATTACTCCTCAGACCACTGACCTGGAACTGCATGCCAGCTGTAAGTGGGGGAACCCGGCTCTGGCCAAGTTTGGGCAGCATCGTGGGCAGCGTGGACAGCAGCATAAAGGGATTCTGGAAATCTTGCTGCACGGGGCTCAAGGTCCCAGAAATATTTTCATCATCTGCCAATGACAAATTTAAAACTGTTGTGCATAAGAATGTCGATTTGTTAATTAGAGTTCAGCCTAACGCATGCAAACCAGTCAAATTCAGCCTACGTGAGGTGCAGCATTCCCAGTGGCGTTGAACCAGCTCTTTCATGCAGCCAATGAGCTGCCGCCACACATCATCAAACAGCAGATCGAGAACAGCGTGGCGGCGACACCGGTATGGTGAGACTGGGGGCAGACATTTATGCCTCCGACTCGACTCGGAGCAATCCTGTTCCCACTGGTCATCCTCCCTGCAGAAATAGGATCTTATAAGAAAATGAACAACACATAAACAGCAATTCTGAAAACAGAGCAACTTACAAGTCTGTGCTATCAAAAGCAAGATATTCCTCCATCTGACCCTCTATTTCAGTCACTCTATTCTTGTCATGGCTGCCAATGCCGCTGGAGGTACCACGCTGAGCATCCAAGTCTGGTGAATTGGATCTGATCAGATGTGCTCTCCGGCCCTGCACATTCAACCTTACCCCCACCAAGAGAAGACGAGACTTAGTTAAACAAGGTCATTTCCATAAAAACTAAATCTTTCAAATTCAGCAGACAACCACATGTTGAAAAGTAGAATTAACATAATTTTAATATGTACAAACAGGCTTAATCTAATCTCATTTATATCAACTCGATTTACGGAAAAACTAGTTAGATAACAGAGCAGCCTATTTCCTACCAGTCTATCAGTTAAAAGTGTGAGTCAAAGCATCATTTTCTCAGAACCATGATACCCACCATGACTTTGGCTCAGATTATTAATTAAAAAGCCAGAGGATCTAGGTCACAAAACCAGAGTCAGCCAGGACTCCTCTATAATTGATGCAAAAACAGGAGTAATCTGGACAGCCAACATCCACTCAAGACAGACAGACAGAGGCATTGCAGTTTTTCTTTAAATAATAAAGCAAGATATGGCTCTTTTGGGCTTTGAACATACATAACTGCTGTAAACTGTTCCATAGTTAGTTCGTGTTAACAGAGTTTATTGACAGTATTGGCTGATAATTCTTGTCTCTGCTGTTTCAGAGTAAAAGCTGAAGACTGACTGATAAAACAAAATACAATGTCCATTTTAAGCGGCAGTGACAGGCTGTTCTGAGTAACGTTTGACATTCCTTCAGCCAAGAATGATAAAAGCAATAAAATATCAGCCATAATTATGTGGACACAAATCAAACATAACAGCCTAAGATACTATCTAAACTGCACCCTCCAAGATAACGCTAGATCAGATGGTGAGATACCACTCACACACGCAGAGATATCTTCGTATATCTGAGAGAGATGCAACAGGTGATCTCTAACCTTATGTATCGACTCAGTGCAGAGTTGAGACTTTGAGACTTACTCTGTTCCTTCCCTGTCTTTCTCCTGGGGTTTAACGCTGCTTTCTTTGCCCGCTGACAGCCTGCTGGAAGCGCTGCCTTTCCCTGAGGTAGTATACCACTGGAAGCCTTCATCACTGGGACACAGCAGCTGAGTCCCCAGAATACTGAGTGACACACACACACAATGAATATGTAAAACAAGTGTGATTCTGTAGAAGAATGGAAGACTTTTACAGGTTTTTCTCCACAATCAGAATTAGTCTTTGATCCCGCTGCTGCCCCATTTCATTGGGAATTAAAAAAAGGGCTGGCAGATGATAGGAGACGGCGGATTATATACCGAAGATGAGGGAAACGTGTGGCCCACTGCTGACATTCATCCTGGAGCCCCTGGAGTATCCCTCCCCCACTGCCTCTTCCCTCATAAAGATCTTTGTCGATCTCCTCAAACATTTGCTGCACCTGCCGTGATGCCGCCTTGTCAAACTCCTATGGGACGGAAACAGGAACACAGGAAAGAGAGTTATTCTTCACGACTAAAAGTCCCCACATTTTACTTACTGGCAATGTATCACTATTCAATGGAAGCAACAACGTGTGTGATAATTAGCTCCTAGTCTCTTGAGGTGCATTCAAGTGTCAAGTTGTTCATGTCATAAAAAAAAA